GGAGCGTGCATCAGAAGATTAAAATTCGAGCTTAATAGCACATTTTTAAACTGCACGCACAAGAATATACTGTACATTTTGGCATACGAAGAGACTTTTAACCTTAAAAAATCCACCCAGAATAGGGGTACGTCTTATTCTCTAGGTATAAAATGTGAACCTTAAATCCTGTGGTTTATGGTAAGTTATTATCATGGGACATGCGTATCTCAGCCGAATGCTATCTTCAAACGGCTTGCATACCTCTTTTGGGGTCTCCGTTTCTTATCTCATTCAGAAATTTTGTTCGAAAAGTTGATAATTACCGTATTTGACGGTCCATAAGACGCACCCCAATTTCGGCAGGGCAAATCAAGAAAAAAATAGTAATTAGTAAACCTACATATGGCATATAAGACGCAGGGGAATTTTAAGATATTTTTAGTAAAAAGAAGTGTGCCTTATATGATGTTAAATAAGGTAGATATTTACATAGATAAAAGCATTGGTTGAGTGATCCAAAAGTGACTTGGCCCAATGAGTTGTGAGTTCAATACCTGGCCACAGTTGAGGGAACAGAAACTTGGAGAGTTCTATTACTAAAGGGATTTAACTGAATTTGTACTAAATAAAGGGCCTGGTTCGAAATTCCAATGTATATCACCTGAAAAAGGCCGGAGCGTACAACGGCCAAAACGCTGTGAATATGGCAATAAAGATGAGGGCAACAATCCGAACGATATAAATAGTTACAATACCTCATCTTAGAATATAAACCGTTGGTAATTAGATATTATCAATTAAAATACTTTTCAATATGGCCAGGGTTTTTATTTGTAGAAAGTGCAATACAAAACATCCATTTATAAACTGGTAATTATTAGAAATTTACAACAGTTTAAAGTACCCGAAAGCTTTTGTATAAAAAGAACCCAAATACATAAACTGAATTGTATTTGGATTAAGAGATCTCAAAGATTGCTTGGTGTTTGTTGGCTATTTGGGTGCGGTCAACTATATCTATAACGACATTGTCCTACCATCTTATTATGTAAACTTTATCATTAGACTAGCGTATGTATGTTGTGCCATTTATAGAATAGCATCTAGTTGGAGATCACGCACAAGCTTTGCGAGATTTACAATAAAAAAAAAAAAACAGATGCAGTAAAGTCATTAATAGACAAGGGATTATTGGGTGTAGAAGAGTTAGAAACAAACATCGTTAAGGAGCGAAAAGAAAAGAAGAGTAATCAGGTGTACAGTAGATAGCGATTAACATTTCATTCATATATTTGAAGATTAAAGATCTCTGGAAAGCATGGAGCCGGAAGGGAGTTCCACAAGTGAGAAGTACGAGAAACGAAACCATTAGCATAGAATTTACGGTTACACCTGGCCATCTCAAGTGTGAGTTGATGAGATCTAGTCACCAGTGTAGTACGACACTTAAATTAATACAGTCTAGGCGCCATAGCGAAGAGATCATCCGAACTATTGTCATGAAAGTATATATATATATATATATATATATATATAAGGAACAGAGAGGCAATCTTATGGCGGTGGGAAAGAGACTGAAGCCGAGACGTCAGATCAAGGGCAACAATATTGCTGATTGTCTTTGTATTTTATCAAAGAGCTCTAGATAAGGAGCAGGAGCACGGGATCATATGTGGTAGTAATTTCCATCGGCCATTCTCGTCGGTGTTTCAAATAATCTTTTTTATTATGATAACTTCACTTTTTGTAGGCCTTGTTCGCATGAAAATTACCCAATAATATTCGAGTTGTTCAATCATTTTTCTATGTCGCTGTTTGCTTGGCACCTGCATCTCATCGTCGTTTTGTCTTCTGTCCATGATGACCGGCCAAATGTAGATTATTCTCATGTGGACGGTTGAATCTAAAATATTTGGATGGTAACCCAGGACTGATTTTCATTTGATCTTGCTCATTCTCTGAGTTAGGAATCTAGGATTTTCTTAAGGAGTTTTACGTAAAAGGACATTTAAGAAAAACGAAAGAAAGACGACGAATGAAAAAAAACGAAAGAACGACGAACGAACGAAAAAAAAAAAAAAAAAAGGAAGAAGAAAGAACGAACGAACAAAAAAAAGGAAGAACGAACGAAAAAAAAAGGAAAAAACGAAAAAAAGAAAGGAAAAAACGAATGAAAAAACAAAAGAAAGGAAGGAAGAAAAAACAAAAAAAAGGAAAAGAAAGGAAGAACGAACGAAAAAAACAAAAGAAAGGAAGAACGAATGAAAAAAACAAAAGAAAGGAAGAACGAATGAAAAAAACAAAAGAAAGGAAGAACGAACGAAAAAAACAAAAGAAAGGAAGAACGAACGAAAAAAACAAAAGAAAGGAAGAAAGAATGAAAAAACGAAAGAAAGGACGAACGAATGAAAAGATGATTTTAATGAAATAAAAAAAAAAAATGATGAACGGATGAAGAAGAAAGGATCAGTAAATGATAGAAGCGAAAGAAAGAAAACAAGAAGAAAGCAATATGAATGAGTGAAAGAAGCAAAAAGAGAATAAAGTAAGAATTAATAAAAAGAAAGGATTAACGAATGAATGGAATGGAATGAAAAAGGAAAAAACGAATGAATGAAACAGGATTATGAATGAAAGAAAAAAAGAAAGGAGGACAAACAGGTGAGACAAAAAAGGTCAATAAATGAAAGAAACGAAAGATAGGATCAATGACTGTATGTATAGATGACAGAAAGAAACAAAGGCGAATGGAAAAGAAAGAATACATGAATGAATATAACAAAAAGTGAAAAAAAAGAACATTTATTTGCACACAATGAATGGAAATTGTTTTGTTTTAATCGTTCTCGTCCTTGCTTGGGTGTTTCCAGTTTTGTTTCTGCATTTGTTATCTATCTGGTCTCAGTTTTCTTTTAATTCCATGGTAGTAAGCATGTCGCCATGTTGTTTTATCACATGCAAATAATTCATAATCAGACAGATAATCTCAAATTTCTAGAGAGTTGATTAAACTTTAGTTTCTTCTCTTTGAATGAAGAACTTGAACAAGTTTAGGATAAGCTTAGTCTTTGTTTTAAAAAAAAATGTGTAAAAAGAGAATACTGGCAAAGGCATCAAAAGTTTGTAGGCAGTGAAAATTAGTTCAATTGGGGAAAAGGGTCACAAATTACGTGAATACAGATGCGGGCGGAGCAGAAGACACATCGCGTGATTTCAAAACCACTTTCTAAGTAATCAGAAGTTACATAAAAATATATGTTATGTAAGTTTTTTTGAATCTCCCAAAAGGTTATAAAAAGGGCGAATTTTATTCACTGAGGTCATACGTCAAACCTGCTACTAACTCCACACATCTCGTGACCAAGAGGCCGCTACTACAACTTTTCATATCCTTATTTCAAAGATACTGGAATTTATAATTACGTTTCTCACACACATTAATAAAAAAATATTATGAATGAACAATTTTTATTCTATTTTCAACACACGCTCGGCAATCAACGAAATTTGACTTCATATAAAATGTAAATAAATTAGTTTGACGTTTATTTCATTAAAACCTTACGGCCACATCACACTGAAATGCCGGTTCTCGCACGATTACTGAAGTTAAGCAACGAGTATGATCAGTACCTAGACGGGTGACCACTTGGGAATATCAGGTGCTGTAAACTAGGATGTACGTGTGGTGTAATAGATAAGGACTTGGAATTCGAAATCGAAAAGCCAAGTTTTAACCCCAGTTGGGTTCGTTATATTCACTTACGCGAAATTACTTTTGGGAAAGTTATGAATCTACCTTTCTCCCCCAGTTATGGGTTAAATAGTAAGACTTGTATCAGTAAATGATTATTATCTTCAAAAAATGTTTTACAACTGTTGTAACCTAGGGAAGGTTACTGAATAGAATAATCAGACAAAGGTTTGTAATGAATGATAATACTTAGGACAAGAACAACATATATGAGATTCGCGTAGAGTTAGTAGTCAACTGCTAGAAGTGAGTTAAGTGAATTCTATAATAAATCTCCAACTGGGGGATATCTACCAACCGCCCGACGCGGTCAGATGTGGCACAAGGCTGAATTTAATGTGGGGTATCCGAGCCGGTAGGCTCGGCCAAAAATTCACCGTAGACCCCTTATAAATCGGGATCGGGTATCTGTTTCCCGAGACAAGACTCTACCCTTCGACATAGCCTCGACTGGGGATCCTCTCTGCCCAGAGGCAGAGAGTTTGACTAGCACAGCGGGAGACGAATCTCCAAACTGCAGGATATCTACTAACCGCACCACGCGGTCAGATGCGGCACAAGGTCGAATTAAATGTGGGGTATCCGAGCCCGTAGGCTTGGCTAGAAATTCCCCGTAGACCCCATATAAAACGGGGTCGGGTAGCTGTTTCCCATGACGAGACTCTCGTATCATCTATGATAATTTACAGGACAGACCGGGTTCTATAGCTTTCGATGGCAAATGTCAACCTACACCGGGAAAAAAATCTGCCTCGTCAGTCATATATCGAAAGATACATGATCGCCTAAGCGTGTATCATGTATGGCACATAACTCATTGATTGATTGATTGTTCCCAGTTTAATTATTTTTTTTTTTGTCAAAACATTTCTGAATAAACTAGCTTAATTCAGGGTTCCTTTCACACCCAGGATCCATTTTTCGGGCTAGTATTTAGGCAGAGTTCGAATTCTAGTCGAATACATTACATTCACTTACATGCTAATACTCTTGGGAAAGGTATGAAACCTCTTGTTCTCACCCCCCCAGCTATGGGTAAATAGCAGGACAAACCGGGTTCTATAGCCTTGGATGGCAACTGGTCTACCGCAGAAAGAAAATGCGGGAAAAAGCACATAACTGACTAACTGAATACAAGTTTTATTAATTATCTCATAATTAGGGAAGAAGAGATGAATTTATACATTTCTTCAGCGTAAGTGATATAACGAACCAGACTGGAATTCGAACTCGACCCTCCGATACACCACCCGTACCTCCAAACTTACAGCATCTGCTATTCCCAAGCGGTCGCCCATGTAGGTACTGGCCAGGCTCGACGTTGTTTAACTTCAGTGATCATTACGCAAACCGGTGTTTCAACGTGACATGGTCGTATGCCTCGCGGTCGACCAGGATTTGCCAATAGAACAAATGACTGTGAGAGAACATAATGATCTAACAGTGTTATTTTATATTCCATTGAAGTGTATGGAAATCGAAGAGACCTACAAATAAATCTTTACAGACACGATTACATTAACGTTTATTTTCGTTATTTTGCATAGATATATCTCACTGTCGCTCAGCAATATCTGTAATGGCTTCCTTTGAAGTGGGCGTCAGGGAGGTTATATTACAACAAAGCGAACTATGGCGTGTCGCAATCAACGACAAACACTGATATACGTAATAAATCTGTATCTACAACAAACAACACTGACTGCTCGAGTTAACATTACACACGCTATGTTATCCTGTTATGGCGGTTCGTGCCTACCGCCGAGCAACGGCATATTCCGCTGTCGCAAACATAGTCCTGCCTTAGAAATTTTCAGAAGGCAAGGGTGAAGGTTCAAACGAAAAAAAAAAAAATAGAAACTTTTAAAATGCCCTTTTGCACTGCAATCAGTCTAGTATTGTTAAAATTTATGAGTAGCAATAGAAATCACTGCCGACTCAAGAGGTATTACTTGATTAGTCTGTTCTTCAAATATAGTTCGTTCTGGGACAAACATATGATTGATTATTTTGCGTTTCGTATCAGTCTGTTTCTTCTGAATATATGTGAATACTGAAAATAAATTGTTTGGATGTTAAAAGCCGATTTGGGGTTTTAATTTGGGTAGCTGTAGTTACGTTTACGGAAACTGAAAAACAAGTAATCAGCGTCGATATTTTAAAAAGGAAGCGAAAATAAAGACAAAAATTTAAACTATTCGTGATGAAAAAATAGTTAGGAACAGATTTAGACAGAGAGATAAGCAGACATATGGCCAGAAATAGAGACAGATATGAACAGAGAGATAGACAGACAGATATGAACAGAGATAGATAGATAGATAGATAGATAGATAGAGATGAACAGAGATAGATAAATAGACAGACGTGAACAGAGATAGATAGATAGATAGATAGATAGATAGATAGATATGAACAGAGATAGATAAATAGACAGACAGCCGTGAACAGCGATAGATAGATAGATAAATAGATAGATAGATAGATATGAATAGAAATAGATAGATAGATATGAATAGAAATAGATAGATAGATATGAACAGAGATATAGATAGACAGATACACATGAAAAGAGATAGATAAATATGAACAGAGATAGATAGATAAATACGAACAGAGATAGATAGATAAATATGAACAGAGATAGATAGATAAATATGAACAGAGATAGATAGATAAATATGAACAGAGATAGATAGATAAATACGAACAGAGATAGATAGATAAATATGAACAGAGATAGATAGATAAATATGAACAGAGATAGACGTAAACAAGGATAGATATCAACAAGAATGGACAGATAGATACATATGAACAGAGATAGCGACATATATTCCTATGTCCTTATCTATGGGAATAGACTAGGGTTGATAGACATGAACAGAAAGAGAAGGATGAAGAAGAAATGATTGCAACTGAGCCACAGTTGTAAATAAATAAACGACATGGATAGACTTGACTAGATTGGAAAAATGGAATCTTTTTGTGATAGCTTGTTAGCCCTCTCTCACACACACATTATATATATATATATGAGAGAGAATCGGTGAAGAGGAGAAGGGAACAAACGAGAGTGGGTGTATGCAAACATGAGGAAAGAGAATGCTGGTGAATAGACGCTGGTAGATAGATGCGAATAAACTGAAAACAACTGACAGATTTTACAAGTGTAAAACTGGACCGACAACTTTGGTTTTGTTCGTATAGAGCCAGTAACACGCGTGAGAAAAAGCAAGTCTGATATTTTAAAAAAAAAAAAAGATTATGTTTACTTTAAATTGTTTACCTTTATCTCGACTTGAACCCGGAATTAAACTCGTCGCCGTTTCTCCCCACCCTGTTTATTATTATTTTCTCCTTTTGCTAAGGTCACTGCTCCCACCTCCCGGTCTACAATACACTTACACAAACTAGTCAGGTAAGTGGCTGGCTGCCTGCCTTCCCCTATCTCTTTCGCCCTCAATATACCACGTGAGGGTTAAGTTTTCCAAGCACTCTTTCCTCATTAAGTGTCCAAGGAATGTCTTTTCATGATTTTGAATGTAAGTGTTCTTTTTGTTGCCATTTTCTTTCTACCTTCTTACTCCGTCCATAGAATTCTTAGTATCCTCCTGTAGAAACGCATTACTGCCGCTTCTAGTTTTTTTCCTTATCCGCGGGGAGATTGTCCAGTATTAACTGCCATATAAGCGGATGGATACCAGAGAGCAATCCAGCACTTTTTTCTTTGTTTCTAAGTGTTATACCGTACCTATGGGCTATAATGGCTATGTCCCAATGCGTATAAATACAGTAGTATGTGGTAGTCATTCGGATTCACTTCCAAGTGTGCAGGTCAAGGATCCTCGAACGAGGATAGGTCTAGGAAGACGGCTAACCGACCCCGTTTTTGCGGGGTCTACGAGAAATTTTTGGCCGAGTCCACGGGCTCGGATACCCCACAATAAAACTCGGCCTTATGCCACATCCGACTGCGTGGGGCGGTTAGTGAATATCGTCATTTGGATACACTTCCAAGTGTGCTGGTCAAACTCTCTGCTTCCGGGCAGAGAGGATCCCCAGACAAGGCTATGACGAAGGGCCGAGTCTCGTCTGAGAATAGAGCTAGCCGATCCCTTATTTGGGCTCTACGGCGAATTTTTGGCCGAGTCTACGGGCTCGGATACCCCACAATAAAACTCGGCCTTATGCCACATCCGACCGCGTGGGGCGGTTAGTGAATATCGTCATTTGGATTCACTCGTGTTTCACCTTGATTCACTTCTTGCTCACCACTAGCAGCTGATCACTTACTACACCCCGCTGGCGAATCTTGTATGTTGTTTCTGTTATAAATATTATCGTTCCATTTCCAACCTTCTTATCGGTTATTCTTATTCAGTAACCTTTTCCTAGGTTACAACACTAAGTATTTACTAAATTCCTTTCAAGCTTTAGGCTGCAAAAGATTAAAATTGTTGAAAATAAATAAAGATGTGACATTTCTGCAAATAAAATATCTTTTTTTAATTTTGAAATTTTAATAAATAAAGATGCATAATTAAAAAAAAAACCCCCAAAACATGGAAATAAAGCCGGAAATAAAGCCTGAAATACCGCCAATCCTTTAACGATCTAAATAATCTAAATATCAAATAGTTTTTTTTTATTTGTATCTTCTTCTTTGTGCTGCGTCTCTTGAGGACATAGGTGATCATGGCTCTCCACAACTTTCTATCTCCTGTGACTCTTAGTAGTTTTTCTCCTTTTCCTAAGGGTCACGTTCTGCCATCCACTCACACAAGATTGTGAAGTGGATCACTGCCTTCCCCTATATTCCCATCATGTGTCCAAAGAATTTCAGCTGTGTTTTCTTGATTTTATTCTTTTATAAGTGTTCTTCCTGCTGCCATTTTTTTAAATACTTCCTTATTGTTTACTCGCTACATCCATAGAATTTCCAGTATCATTCTGTCGAACCACATTTATACTGCTTTCCAGTTTTTCTCCTTTCCTTTGAAAAATTGTCCAACATTCACGGCCATATAAGAGGATGGATACCACACAGCAATCAAGAACTCTTTCCTTCCTTCCTTCCTTCCTTCCTTCCTTCACTCTTTCCTTCCTTCCTTCCCTCACTCTTTCCTTCCTTCCTTCCTTCCTTCACTCTTTCTTCCCTTCCTTCTTTCACTCTTTCTTTCTTTCTTTCTTTCTTTCCTTCCTTCTTTCACTCTTTCTTTCTTTCTTCCCTTCCTTCTTTCACTCTTTCTTTCTTTCTTCCCTTCCTTCTTTCTTTCTTCCCTTCTTTCTTCCTTTTCTTTTCTTTCTGTTTTTCAGCAGCTTTTTCAGCTAGTCCAATGTGTGTTCGGATCTTTGTGTTATATTTTTCACCCTCTGTTAAAACGATTCCCAGATATTTGGATTCATGCACTCGCTTCATGTTTATATCTCCCTTTCGTAATTCGTATGTTGGGCTTTTTCTCTTGCTGATGTCCATACATTCTGTCTTCTTGCAGTTGATGGTTAGCCTTTTTTTTTCTCGCTTTTTTCTGTTAACCTGTCCAGGAGGCAATGTAGTTTCCTTTTCGAATTGGTCATCAACATACAGTCAGCTGTGCATCTTATATTGTTAAGATTACGCCCATCTGTAATAAATCATCGTAGTGTCTCCAGTTCCCTTGGGATAGCGTCGCTGTCGAGGTTGGATAAGTCCTGAGAGACGACGAAGTCTTACGCCCTTTTCTATTTTGGGGCAGCTACTCAATTTATTTGCTGTCCGTATGTAGGTAGTTTGCTCCCAGTATAAATACATCCTTTCCAAATCGATAGAGTTTTTCTAGCAGTTCAAAGAGATCCTTGTGTCATACATTATCAAATGCTATTTGTGTAATCTATAAAACATCAGTACACATTCATTTTCATTTGCATTTTCTCTCTGATATCATTCTGATAAACAATATCGCATTTCTCGTACCGGTGTTCTTGACAAAGCCGCACTGTGTCTTGTCCTATTTCAGGTCTAAATCTGCTTCGCGCTCTACTCACCAGGTCTCGCACCATTAGTTTCATTATATGGTTACTGTCTATATACATCTGGAAATTGGTGGACAGAAAAATTGAAACACGAAAAGATATGAAAATCTCGAGACATAAATATTAGCAAATTTAAATAAACTGATTTAATAACTATCAGATATAGACAAATATAGATAATAACAAATTACCGACATCACGCATTCATTCTCCTTAAGCAAGATCAAGCCTCAAGGAGCCATTCCCTCAGAAGTACCTCTTCAGGGGGCTGGGGTTATTATCCGGCGCGTTCCCAAAAGAGAAAGGGCCGAGGGAGCCTGAGCAGCTTTTCCACAGTATTTTTTTTAAGTGTTTCACCCCAAG